TGATTCCCCGATTATCTAAAAACGGATATGTTTATTTGACAATCATGTGAGATTACGAAAATCATGCTACTGCATTTTACGATGAGGTAGTAAACACATGAATGATCTTTATATATTTTATTTATTTACAAATTTGGAAAACTTTAAAGCTGGGTAAAGTCAGGTTTATTTGTACTAAATTTCAAATGGTTAATATTCAAATAATTTATACAGTATATTATTACTATAATTCAATTGAAATAGTTTTATTATTTATAAATAAAATAATAGTAATAATATCAATTATAAGAATTAAAATTTTTATTTATTAATTTTATTAATACATATTTTTAAAAAATTGAATTTATATATAATATCATTTATAATTTATATACTGTAGAAAATATTTTTTAATTATATGTATTTTATTATTTTAAAAAATTTTTAAAAAATTTGAATATTTAAAATTAAAAAGTTAAATTATAAAAGTCATTTATAACTAAATGTTGCGCATTTAATGTCCATTCACATTTAAAAAAAAAAAGTCATTTATAACTTTATAATTAATAAATTTTAAAATTTTTTTTGTTTTTTTTTTGATTATTATTATTTTATTATTATTATTATTATTTATTTATTTATTTATAAATAAGGTATAACAAATTGTATTTGAAATATATAAAATAATTAATATAAAAATAATTTTTTCAAGTTTATTTTTTTTTTTTAAATAGGACAAAATATAAAATATAAAAATTTATTAATATATATATAATATCTTAAATACTGTATATTAAATATTATTTGAAATATTAAGTGATATATTATTTATATATATTATTTATATTTGATATTTTTAATATATTTAATATATTCAAAATATTTTTTAAAAAATTTTCTTAACTATTTATATAAACATTTTTACTTTAACAATATATTGTAATTAAAATAAAAAAGTAAAAGAATTTATTATTTTATTGAATAAAATTATAATAATTAATTAATCAATAAATTTATCTAATCTAAATCTTATAGAAAATATCCAGAAGCTATTGAAAAACAATATATCAGAATATAAGAATTTTTCAAAAACAGTGAATTGCTTTGACAAAAAAATAAAAAAATTCAATATCTCTATTTATCGTAATATTTTACACTCAATGTTACGACGAATCAATGTTGTATTACAAGAAAAGGAGAACTGACCAAGTATAAGCTAAAAAAATTTTTTTTTCATAAGTAAAACGTATAATATGATCCTGTAAACTTTTGAACTCAATTTCAAAATCAGGCCTTGCTTTTTTAAGATGGGATTTATGTGGTCTGCGGGCCTCTCTCCCTATGGTTGAGATAAAATACAACCATCTACATATTTTTCTAATATAAAATTTTGTAAACTTAAATTATATATATAAAAAAAAAAAAAAATCTTGGCAAGTTTTGGCGAATGAGAATTAGGCGGGGTGTTGGAAATGATTACCGTTAAAACTTCGGAGATACTATGTTTAAACCATCAAATAAGGGGTTAAACGATCGAAGCGACAGGATAAAAAATTATTATACTGTATTGACCATTTATTTTGATGTTATAAAGTGCCTTAACACATTTACTAAATTTAAGGATTGTGGATGTTCAGTTGGAGTAATTACGTTGGCAATTAAGAACATCCTATATACAACACGTTATTAGATAGTAATAATAGATGCATTGAAAAAGTCAACCAGGTTTACACTTACCACATACCAAAAGAAATCATTCTTGATTGATTCGTTTAAAGCTTCCTGGATGTTTGTAAGCTCAACTAGATTTTTTTTTCCGATATTTATAGAGTCTTTGACTTACTTCTCTAAAGAAAATTTCATCTTTATTAATCATAAGTTTTTTTTACTTTGTGTTTCCTTATTTGTGGCAGAACTCTTATCGTTCGTCTTTAAATCCAACATCAAAAGATGTAATATAAGGTATTTCTTAGAGGACGACTATATAATTATAAATACAAATTCTTACTAGATAATTCAACTATTGGGCCCCAAAATTTCTTTGATTAAATCATATAAAATGTCACGAACAAAGGTATCCTTGTTTTCGTTATTATTCAACTTTCGCGGTAGTGAACTCAAATTTACTAAGGAAATTAAAACTTACTAAGGAATATTCTAGAATTATATTGTTATCTACTGATAATAAACGTGGAGATGTTTGTCTTTATTTCAAATCGCACAATTGCAAGTGAGATTGTTGGTTTCGTCGATTCAGTTAACATGTGTTTGAAAGACACCTATTTTATCGCAAAAAAAATAATATGAAAGCTCACGATTCAGAATAAATGCAATACATCCAGGATTTTTTGAATTTTTTTTTATATCATAAGTACTGTTTAATTGTAGATCGTTGAAATTCCGAAACTCGCTAGAAATATTAATAATGTCTTCGAGAATCCACTGAAAGCATAAGACGAAGTACTAACCGATCATTCGGAATAACTACGATTATCCTATAAGCTCTTTCGAGAGTTGGTTGGTTGTCGATAGTGTGTATCATGCGCTCGATCGCTTGCCAGTTCGGTCATTTTGACAAATAAAGCGGATTTATTTAATTTTTTATATATACCTGATTAAAGGGGATTGATTGACTAGGAACTTAATTATTCAGAGCAAATTGCGAAAACAGGCTCGATATAGGTAGTTTAGATACCAAAGGCAGAGATTTATTAAAAAGCAATTAATTTTTTTGATTCCATTGTTCAACATAACCAATTACAAAAAATTATTTGCAAAATGACTTATTGAACACATTACTACTTTTATCAATGTTGAATTTTTAAGGTTAAGAGTTGGAATTTAATATTATTATTCAAATGAATTTTATACTCCTAAAACTTTAGTTGGTGTCGGCAAGTTTAGAAATCGAAGATAAAACAAGAGAATTGTTGGATAGTTATGAAAATTGTGCTCGTGGGATCTTTCTTGAATTCCGGAGATCGTGCAGGAAATAGTAATTTATTTAGTTATGTCTAGTATTTTTACTATTATTATGTTACGATCCAACCGAATTGGATATTATACGTTTTTTTACAGATTACGATAAAATTATAATGAACAGTTAGGTACTGCACTTTATAAAAAAATCTTTATCATATTATTACAATGAATAAATACAGGCTATGATATAAAATAGACTAATAAAATAAATAAAACTCTAATCACTTGAAAATTTAGCTATTATACATGACAGCTAAGATGTTGGGATCTTTCCTCGTAAGTACTCCATAATCGCGGTCGTACCCGCTTGCACAATCGTATATCGGGGAACCCTGAATGAATTCCCTTCGACAAGCAACGTCTTGATGGTTGTAATCCTACCCAATTCTGGTGGCAGGTGACCAATGTTATTATTGGAAATGTCTACTACTTCCATATTTTCAAATGTCGAAGGCGTAATTGCTGTGAGTAAATTCGAGGTGACAAGGAGTGTAGTCAGTTTTGGAAACGGAAGTTTTGCTGGCAATGCCGTGATGCGGCAATTATTCACATTTAGAATTTGCAAATTAGGGAATG